AACCTGTTCAACGATAAAATGGAGCTATCTGTATCTCAAAGAATATGAAGGTAATTAAAGTTTTTTGAAATTTTGTGCAGTTTTTCATAACATGCACTTTCCATGAACTCTTTGAATACCCCTGTATGCATGCATTTCAAAAATTTTTATACCAAAACATATTTTTTATTCCATTTTCCTGGAACTTTTTAAGCACCTTGTAGGATGAAATGAGATAAAATGTGCAAAGCCACTTTTGAGAACAGTTTCTGACTGTACGCTGCTTTTCCTGTTACTGTGAAAGGGGCACACACAAGGTGCCCCAGAGCTGAAGAAGGAATGGCCCCTTCCCACAGCTTGCCAGCCTACCTGTCCACGACTGTGAGGACGTCCTTGAAACTCGCGGCAAACATCCCCGATAAAGTACTTGGCCAGGCGGCCTGCAGCCTGCAGCAGGGAGCTCAAGTCTCTGAGGGAGCAGTGCAGCCACTGACAGTCGTTCTCCGCCGTGATGTTCAGCCTGTGTCCTGGAACACAGCAGCCCACAGGTGTTCACGGGAAGAACAAGCTTCTGTTACACAAGACAACAGCCTGCGGCAGCAAGACCAACTGCAAAAACAAAGCAAGCCACTAAGTACTTCCCAGGTCCAATGCCACCCCCTGGCTGCTCTAGTGGCTGGACAGGGACAGATAGCTGGCTGTGGTAATGGGGACCAGGGGTCTCATCTGGTTCCTCTTCATCCAGGAAGGTACAGACCTGGGGAGGACCAGGGATCTTGCCCAACATGAGTCTTATCTCTGGGGCTAAAGCTAAATCTATGACTCCAAACCTGCTGCCATCTGCACATGGCCCTGTCTCAGATGGAAATCTGTGGGCCCACAGGCAGGATAGGCCTGGCTAAGAAAACAGGGGTACAGTCATCACCCCAACCAGGAGGACCTTATGTAGTACAGTATGTACTTAAGGGCACAGAAGCTGGGTGCAGAAGACCCGATTCTCTGCCACTTTCTGGCTCAGTGCCTCATCAAACTCTTCTCAGTTTCCTCATCTTTAAAATGGGGATGTGGGGGTAGGGGTGCTATCTACTATTCCAAGGGCAGGAATGCATTTAAGAGCCTGTAAACTAGGTTTGGATGACTACAGACACCACAAAGCTGGTGGCATCGAAGGCCCCCACTTCATTCCTCATCAATGTAACTTCTGAGCAAGGGAGAGGCTTAGAGGAAGGCTAAGGGCATCCTTGTTCGGTCACTTCCTTGCACAGTGCACTCCCTCTCCTCACCAGTGTCCACAGTGAGCATGACCAGGCGAGGGGAGCCCTCCTGAAACCTGCTGCCCAGGGCATCTGCAGCCCCTCGGCTCCCTCAGTGTGCTTCCCACCTGCTCTCCACCTGCTCTCCACCACCGCTTCTGTCTTCACCCTGTTAGGAAGCCAGCACCAGCCACCCTCCCTTGGGGCTCCTCCACCACCTTCCCAGAGCCCAGACGGAGCACAGAGTTCCCTTCAGCAAGCAGCCAGAGCCCAGAGGCTCTCCCCTGCTAAGACTGGGGGCCCAGACCCCCCAGTATCAACCCTGTGGGACGTGGCCTCCTCCCTCCATTCCGTCAGCAGGACCCACAGAACGCCCCATGCCTCACGTCTCTTCCCCTGCATGAACTGTCTTCTCTGCCTTGACTGCACATCATTTCACTCTCTGCCCCACCAGGGCTGGCTACGTCTTACGTATGCTTCATGCTCAGCAGGCACCATCTGTTCCAGAGGCCTCCTACCCCCTCCTGCATTCTTCATGACACCCCACGCCCATAAGGAGGTAAGCTAATGACTCCTGAGTCCCCAGCAGTACTGGCGATGCCCAGCGGCCAGCACAGCCCTGGTACAGACCAAGTGGACCACAGATGACTCAGGTGACCTAGAGCAGGGTGGGTCTCAGGGCTTCACTTGCTCGTGCTGTCCTTGTGAGCATCCACTCCCACCATTCCGTTCCCAACTGTAAGGGCTGTCAGAATGCACACAGCACCCTGGGACTGGCACTGTTTGTAACTGTCAGGAATGAGAGCTGGCAGATGAGGAAGCAACTTAATGCTGCCTCAGATCCTACATTAACTTGCAAGTGACAGGGCTGGCAATAGGGGCTGGGATAGCCCCCACAGAGACAGGAGCCTGGAAAGGGGGATACTCTGGCCAGGGCACCGTTACAAGGGATCACATTTCAAAAAGCAGGCAAACAAAAACAAGGGGGCAATACAAGGAAGGAACTAACAAGAAGAGACACAAAGGCCAGCTTTGACCTGCTCCAAATCACCTGCTCTCTCCTTCTCCAATGAACACATACAGGAGCGCCTCAGTCCAGGAGGCCAGCCTCTCAGCCCACAAGCAGCCCTACACAGGCGGGGGGGCCAGCCCTCCACAGGATGAGCCAAGAGGGAGTTTTGGCCATGCTTGTCATATGAGAGGGTCACTGCCTTTGTGGACCACAGAATGACACAGCCCTAATCCCTCAGTTGGGAAAAATACCACAATCACACACCTACTGAATAACACACATGCCCACATGCTCACACACACACACACACACACACACACACACGGGAGGCAGATCCATGCCCACATCTCCAGGCTGACCCTGCTTTGGACATAAGCAAGTTCTTGGAGTTCTAGAAAGAGGAAGCACTCCATGTCCCACGGTTTGAGCCTGTGCCTCCATTCCTCTAGCCCTCCTATCTCCCACTCCCTAAAGACCCAAGGCAAATCACTCGCCCAGAGATGGCCCACCCAGACCAGATCCCCCCAGTGCCTCCACACATGGGCTCTGAGCAGATGCAGATGGCTTCTCACGTAATAGGCAACTCACTTATTTCTGTTCATTTATTCTTCCCTCTTTGGCTTCCTACTAAGAAATGTTCTCAGGGGATAGGAGGTACGAGGGAAGGGGGCAGCAGCAGGGAGAATGGAGGAAGGGCAGCTCTTCCAGGGCACGGGGGCCCCAGTGTTCTCTCCTCATCTGAGACTGTCTTTCTCAGTAAACTTGGCTTTGAACTTCACTTCGAAGACCCCAGAGTGGGAGAGAGGAGAGACGGTGATGGCAGGAAAGAGTGAGGGTGCTGTCCTGCAGCCTTTCCTTCAGAACCACCCCAGGGTTCCAATGCAGAGCCATTCTTCATCCCACCTGGCCCGTGGTGTTGATATGCTCATCCTTGACCTACACTGACCCAGCCCCCGCTGTGTGCATGACCCTGAGTGGCCATCACTGATGCCCCACTCAGTATGCATCCGCACCTGCACTGTGTACAGCAGAGCCTCTCATGAGACTCAGTAGAGTCCAGGTCACAGAAGTCACTGTGATGCAGAGGGGATACACAGCCAGGCCCTCAGACCCCCAGACTCTCTCCTGCACTGGGATGTGTGCAGGATCCCAGCACTGCTACCCCAAGACAAATCACAGAGCACAGTCCACGGTCCGGCCTACAGGACCCCTCCCAGTGGCCTGGCAAGGGGAGGAGGCCTCATCAGCATTGGGTGGGCCATCATTCCGGCCATCTGTCATGCCACAGGAGAAAAACCATGCCTTTGGGCTGTGCTCCCCATGTTCCTGCCATCACCCAAGGCCAGCAGCAGCAGCAGGAGCATGGGCGGCCTGCTGGAGGTTGTTTGAGCCTGTCCCTGCCCAGCCTCCCCCTCAGCAGCCTACATCAGCCCAACTCCCACACAGCCACCGCTCTTGGATCAGGTGGGACTTTGTGCTCGTTCGCAGCAGGCTAACTGGAGAGGTCTGGGGTCTCCTTCCCTGTGGCATCCCCAAGGACTCTGACATGTCCTGGGCAAATCCCCGCCACACTCAGTGCCCTACAGTCCCCTCCATGGCCTCTCCCCTGGCTTGCTCCCTGGCCACTCTGTCCACTCACGTTGTATGCTGTGCTCCTCCTGGGATGGGAAACAAAGCAAGGATAACTTATTTTGTACCTGTGTTCTGAAGATAGAACATTCTATGTATCCATGACGTGCTTACTCCTGCAGTGCAATGTCCTTACTCATGATAATACAGCACACTTAATCCTTTGGTTAAAAAAAAAAGGCAGCCCTACACAGGCCACCAGGAGGGGGAGCCAGCCCTCCACAGGATGAGAGCCAGGAGGGAGTTTTGGCCATGCTTGTCATGTGAGAGGGTCACTGCCTTTGTGGACCACAGAATGACACAGCCCTAATCCCTCAGTTGGGAAAAATACCAGGATCACACACCTTCTGAATGTCCATGGGACTTCCAGAGTTACAGCTAGGCAACTGACTCCTGGGGTCGATTTCTACAACCTGGTGCTTTACTGCAACCAAACAGGGCTCTGTGGGAAACAAGTCCTCAGGGAGAAAATCCCCCCCGGTATAGGGGTAGGACAGGCCCCCAGGGAGATGAGGTCCGCTTTTCTTTCAGCAAACAATGTGGGAAGGCTGCTGACTCAGCAGCAGGAGCCCCTCGCTCTCACTAGAGGCAGCCATCTTCACCTGCGACGCCCTCTCCCACCAGCCTCCACCGGCACCACTAGCTCTCAACTTACTCATTGTACTTCAGACCTTGAGCCCAGGACCCTCAGCAGTATCTAAACATGTTTTTAAATATTTTTAAGCATATAAGGGAGGCATTCTATGCTTCTCTTAAAAGTAAAACCAAAGCACCTCCCCAAATCAAGTCTCCATTTGAGAATGGTCCTTAACAGTTATCAAAAAGCTTAAAAATTTCCCTGAGCTAGCTTCCCCCTTCCGCCTATCCCAGCACTTCCCTCTACCACTTGCCCATTCTTCAGTCTCGACTGCATGCTAGGTAGCTCAGTGCCTCCAGAGGGAGCCATCCACCTTGGCATAACTTGGCAAATGGGGCAAACCTGCTGCCTCACTGTCTCCCTCCCACTCCTTGAGGGCATAATGCAAAGCAAGCCAAAGTTGGCTGAGCCATGACACCCACGGGGTGAAGGCAGGGGTGACATTCTTCCAAAGCTCCTCCTGACTCACCTGCAGCCCTGGGTTCCTTTCTTTTTTTTTTCTTTCACCATAGCATTTTTATTAAATAAACGGGAAGTGCTCGGTGGCGCCGTCCGCTGAGGCCAGAAGTTAATTCGCTACACGGCCAGTGGGGTCAAGAGGCGCGGCATCCATCGTCCACGAGCCACGAGAGTACAAAACCCGTTCGGAAGATGGCGGCTGCTGGCCTCTTAAAAAGGAAAAAAAAAAAAAAGGAGAACATCACAAAAAAGCCAAGGTTCCAAGGCTCAGACCTCAGACAAAGGGGGCTGCAGCTGTCCCCGGCGGGGTGGGGGCCGGGACAGGGAGGTCAGCCAGGGAACTGCGGTGCGGGTCGCCCTCCCAGCAAGGAAGGCCCAGCAGGGCTGCCGGGGCCCCTGCCGCGGGGTGCACGCAGGGATTCATGCTGGTTGGCTGGGGTGGGGGGGCTGCATCCTAGGGATCCGGGCTCAGCTTCAGCACGCTCAGGTGCGAGCCGGGGTGGAGGCGGGGAGAGGAGCGAGGCCAAGCCGCGCAAAGCCACCACCAGGCACCGCGTGCCCGCCCTCCAGCCGGGGCCCCGCAGGGCAGGCAGGGGGAAAATCCTCCCTTCGGGAAGGGAGGAGGAAGGCCAGAGAGAACCCTGCCTAGGAGGGACCCCACCCCCACCCCGAGCCAGCAGGGGAGGCGGAGCTCTCATTGCGCATGCGCTGGCCAAGCTGCCCGCCTGAGGCACCCTCTGAGGGGCCAGGCAGGTGGGCGTCCAGAGGGGGTGGGTGAGGGAGGTCCGGACCTGGGGGCTACCTCCTGGCGCCGGTCCGCGGCAGCAGCACCAGGGCACAGGCGATCCCTGCTAAGGACTCTGGGAAGTGAAGGTCGCGCTCCCACTCGTCCGTGTCGGTGTTGTAGACCTGCACGATGCCCGTGATGTTGTTCAGGTGCCAGTTGTAGCCGCCCACGATGAAGATCTTGCGCTCCAGCAGGCAGCAGCCGGCCTCTGACTGGCCGGCGCGCATGGGGCTCACGCTGGCCCACTGGTCCGTCTCGGGCACGTAGTACTGGATGGCCAGCTCGTTGAAGCAGCAGTCCACGTGGACCATGCGGCAGCCCAGGGCGTAGATGAGGCCGCCGGCGCCCACCGTGGTGTGCAGCACGCGCGGCTCGCTCATGCGCGCCTTGAACTCTCACTGGTCGGCCACGGGGTCGTAGCAGTGCGACGCCTTCTTGTCCTCCATCGAGACGCTGTAGCCGCCCGAGATGTAGAGGCGGCCCCCGGCGGCAGCGGCGCCTGCGTGGCCCCAGGTGCGGCGCTTGAGCGAGCACGCGTAGTCCCACTCGTTGGGCGCGGGCAGTACCTCCCGACCCAGGCCAGGCTGCCGGCGCAGTTGCGGCCGCCCGTGGCGTACACCATGCCGCATAGCAGGTTCAGCTGGAACCGGATGCGGCTCTCCTGCATGGCCTGCAGGCGCAGCCAGCAGTTGCGCTGCAGCTCGTAGCGGTAGCAGGCGTCCACGGTGCCCTCGCCGCTGCAGTACTGCAGGTGCTGGCCGCCGGCCACATACACGAAGTTGTCGAGCACGACCACACACGTGTGGCTGCAGGCCAGCTCTATCCCTTTGAGATCGCGGAAGTGGCGTGCACCGGGCTCCGCCAGCTGATACACCTTGCCGCTGACAGCGCTGTCGCTGCAGGTGTAGGGCGTGCTGCCGAAGGCTACGAGCGAGGGCACATCGGAGGGCACGGCCATGCGCGGCGACTGCATCTCGTGCTGCAGGAAGGGCAGCACCTGGTAGTTGAGGGCCTCGAGCAGGTAGTGGTGGCACAGCGCGTCCTCTACCATGGTGTCCAGAGTTTGCACGCTGTCCACCAGCTCCGCCGCCTGCATGAGCGGGAAGCGGATGTGGCGCAGCATGTGGCTGGCGCGCGGGGTTGTGCTGCAGCCAGCGCACGGCATTGCGGAACAGGTCGACCTCGTTACAGAAGACCAGGCTCTCGAGCGGTAGGTGCAGGAAGTCGTCCTGCCGCGCGATCTGCAGGAAGTGGCGGAACGTGAAGGCGTCCACAGACTCGCACAGTGACGCCAGGCTGAAGGCCGTGGCCATCTGGCCGATGTGCAGGCACGTCTCCACGCTCATGACCACCTTGAGGAACTCCTTGCACAGCTCCACCACGGGCAGCATCTGCAGGAACACGGCGGCGCCCAGCACGTCCTGCACACAGTCCAGGTCCAACGTCACTTTGGTGCTGTAGGCAAAGTTGATGATGTGGCGCAGGCCGCGGGCCAACACACCCTTAAGCTCGATGACGTCCTGGCTCACCTCCCGCATGCCGCCCGTGAACATGGCCCTGAAGTAGTCGCTGCAGGCCATCAGCACCACCTTGTGCGCGTGGAAAGCCTCTCTGTTGACGGTGAGGGCCACGTCCAGCAGCTGGCCCTGCGCGTGAAGGGCGGCCAGGCCCTGCAGGAGGCTGCTGCTGTGGCCTGGCGCCGAGAAGCTGCACTTAGGGGCCCTGTTCTTGTCGGCCATGCTGCGGGGAGAGCAGAGCGGGGCTCGCGACTGCCCTGGACCGTGCGAGCCGGCCACGCGTGGGGCTCCCTGGGCGGGAAGTGTCCAGAACAGGCAAGTCTAGGGAGCGAGGGGCTGCCAGGGGGCGGGGCTCCTTTGGGGGTTGGGGGGTGAGAGTATTCTGGAACCAGAGGTGACAGTGGCCGGACACCATGACGTACAGAATACCACTCCACAGTACACTTTAAACATCGTCAGATCTATGTTAAGTGAATTGCATCTTAGAACCCTCCGCCAGGTCCCCCAGACACACCAGGCCCTCCCTTGGCCCCACCCCCACCCCTCAGCACCACTGCTGCTTCGTCTGTCAGCTCTGATAGAGAAATCAAAGAATGAGGAGCTGAGGAGGCCTGCAGGCCGCCCAGGGCCCCGGAACGCAGGAGGAGGGGCCCCAGCCCCTGCCCCGCTGGCCCCCTGCACCCCGGCACTTGCTCTCCCTCTGCCCTGGTCCAGCGCCTGCCCACAGACCTGGGCCAGGAACGCGGGAAAGCCCCAAAGCCACACGGGCTGTTACAGCGCTGATGGTGCACAGGGCACACAGTAGGTCTTCACCCTACTTAGCTGCACTCACACTGGCTGCCACCCTGGAGGCTAATGGGAATGCATGGGCACAGGGGTGGTAGGGCAGGGCGTGGCCTTACCTATGCCAGGGTCCCGGAGGTGGGGCGTGGAGTGCAGGCCGCAGCCCGGGCCGGGTGGGGAGCCCCAGAGGAGGTCGTCTGGGCTGGTGCCATGCGTGTCGGAGGCCGGGGAGGGTGGGCACACAGCCCTCCTGGAGGTCAAGGAGCAGAGGAAAGAAAGGGGTCCCAGCAGATGCCGAGACCCCCCCCCCTCCAGGAGCCAGGAGCTTCCTCCAGGTCTCCCACACGGGTGCAGGGACCCAAGCACTTGGGCCATCCTCTACTGCCCTCCCGGGCCACAGCAGAGAGCTGGATTGGAAGTGGAGCAGCTGGGACAGGAACTGGAGCCCATATGGGATGCCGGCACTGCAGGCCAGGGTGTTAACCCGCTGAGCCACAGGGCGGCCCCTTGGCCCTGTCTCACAAACGCCTCACCTCCTCACCAGCACAAAGCTGCGTCCGGAACACTCTGGGAGGCAGCAGCGACACTCAAGCACCTGGGCCCCGGATGGAGCTCCCGGCTCCCGGCCTCCGCCTGGCCCAGCCCTGGCTGCTGCGGGCATCTGGAGAGTGACCTGGCAGAAGGGAGCTCACTCCTCTCCTCTGCCTTTAAATAAACTAAAAATGAGATGAACTCCTTTGAAAAATATACAGGAACTCCCAGCGGGGCACAGACATGACCCCTGCGCCCTCCTGGGGCAGAAAGGACAGGAGTGGGGGCCCCAGGGCATGTTCGGCCCGGGACAGCCTGGTGCGATCCTCCAGCCCAGCCCAGACACACAGGGCCGGTGGGAGCCCAGGGCCACTCCAGCCACCAGGTCTCAGCTGCAGAACTGGGGCAGGGCAGGGCGGGACCGGGCCCCTGGGTGAGGACCGAGTGCACTGTGCACAGAAAGCCCAGCCTCGACCCCGTGCCCCTGGCCATGACAGTCGGGGCCCGAGAGCTGAGCTGCTCCAAGTAGGGTCAGGATGCCCTGGGCCCCAGCAATGCCCCCGGCGCCCCTACAGCCGCTTTCCTATCTTAAGGTGTGCCAGCTAACATTCCCATTCATGAAACCTGCAGCTGGTTCTTTCCCAAATCAAATCCTGCACCCCCGTCCACTGCAGCCTAGAGCTCTAACCATTACCACCAGAAAATCATACTAGGAACCGACGAAAGTTGAGGAGGTGGGCCAGTGTCCCACTGTCAAGTTGTTCAGATCTACCTGCATTTTCCATTTGGCCAATAGAAACAGATTCCACCCCCTACCCCCCAAAAATCACAGATCATCTGCCGAGTAGAAGCTTCAGATGCGAATATTGCAACACAGAGAGCTTTAGAGGGATAAAATGTCAAGGCCGCACAAAAGTTTTATCTCCCATCCATAAAGCAAACCATCCTGAAGCTGCCTGGATGTGCCCTGAGCCACATCCAAAGAATAGCTCCTTGGCAAACCATTCTTGAGAAAAAAGAAAAATCTTAATGTTAAACATAATTTAGTCTTCTCTTTTTTTTGGGTGGGGGGGTTAAGGGTGAGGAAGGGAGAGGTATGAAAACTAACATTTGAAGTATTCTACTCTGAAAGAACCAAAAAAATCATAAACCATCCAGGTCTCCCCCATGGATGACAGGCTGTCCCATGGGGGACAGGGTGACAGGGTATCTTCAAGCCATCACCCGCTGCCTCCCAGGGAACACATTAGCAGACATTGGGTGCACAGACAAGACTCAGACCCAGGCACTTCAATGTGGGCTGCAAGTATCCCAAGAGGTGACTTGAATGCTGTGCCAAAGCCCAGCCCAGTAAGAGGGTTTCTTAACCAACAGCAGGTAAGGCAGAGAGGAAAGGATGCCCTGCCGAGGGTAGAGAGGTGCACCATGGTGTGCCACAGCCATACGATGCACTCTGTCTTGGGCTACCGAGGAAGTGGAAGTAGAGGAAATACTAAACAGCACATGGGCCTTCTGAATTTGAATGTTCTAACGAAAGATGGGGGACTTCCTGCTAGGCTGGGGAACATCCCTGTAGGCTTTGCTGCTGGCCAAAATGTATACCCAATTGTCACGAAAGATCACAGCAGCAGAAGAGGGCAAGAACTGTGATTTGGCTGCCATCCACACGGTTCCACCATGAGTTCAAGGCTGGGGTAGAATATAAATGCAGGCTAAAGGAGGGGCTGTAACCCACTGGGGGAAAGATGGCTTTGTTTCTGTTGAGAGGCAATGAGCCTGACGAATATAGCGTGGAGGCTGTCTGGGGGGGGAGGGGGCGGGCAAACGGCCATGGGAACCAGGGAACAAACTGTCCTCAGTTTCAATGTTTTAATAGCTTTCGCATTGGAAACTTGGCTTCTGAGCCACCACGGGACAGGGCAATGCTTCATCATGCATCAGAAAGCTCATTTTCCAACAGGAAGTAAGTATTCCTCTGGCCTGCAAAGTGTTCGCCACTGGAGTGTGCAGCAAGGATCCATGCTGAGGGTGAGATTTATAATTGACCTGGAGGAGTGAGCACTCTGTGAAACTGCCGGCTAATGGGCTCCAATGATGGCAGGTATGTGCCATTTGGTTTAGGGGAAGATAAATGAGATGATCGTTCTAGGAGGAGAACCTCTGAGTCATCAGTCACTTCCCAGGAAAAGGACTGAAGACTCACTGCAGATTTTCTTCTCACGACGGACTCTACATGATGCTCAACAGCCCATTATAACAGCCCACAAGCAGCCCAGGGGCCCTCTTTTCTTTAATAGATCAAGAATATATTTAGGGCCCTGAATACAATCTAATTTGAATAGTGGCCCTGAGGGAGATACTACCTGGGCACAATTATGTCCAGAAATGGATTCTAGAAACATAGGCAGCATTTGTGCATGGTCAAATGATTTTCATGAGTGCGGCCAGTGTACTTTAAAGGCATGTTTCTTTTGAAAGTGCCTTTTACAAAACACTGTGTATGCTGTCCTGACCCCTCTACAAAACCAGAGCCTACACTTGGGACATGTTGAGTCCCATCACCCTCAAACATCATCTTGGGAGTAGCATTAACCAGCTATGTGACCCATGAGAAATGAACGTCTCTGAAGAGCAATTTCCTCTTCTCTGAAACAGAAGTATCTACTAAGTACACCTAACACCTCACAAGGCAGCTGAGAGACTTCAACAACCTAAGTAAGTAACACAGCACCTGGCACTTAAAGAGTCATCAATGAAAAACTAAAACACGCTAATCCCGCACTCCGCATGGCGAGGCCTGGAACCTGCAGCCAAAGCCTTCCCAGCCAGCCCCAGTCAGGGCCTCCCCTGCCACTCACAACAGGAGAGCCAGAGAGCACTGCTGCCCAGGGCATACCACACTCAGCCCGCTTGGAGGCAGCTCCCAAGTCCCCTGATTCTAGCACCCAGGCCAGCCAGAGTACAGCAAAGTCCAAAGTCACCTTCTTCCATACTTGTTGACTCAAAGGACCTAAGGAAATACCCCAGGATATTAAAAGTCTTACCTCTTTGCTCCAAATGAGCTTCCATCCCAAACTCTGCTAGGAAACACTGTTATAACCTGTTTCACCTGTCCACAGCTGAGTGTGGGTTTTTAGTTTTCCCTGTCTAGAAGTGGGGGGAGATTTTGTGCAGGGATGAGGGTGGAGCTGCAGTGGACAAATCACAGTCTGACAGCACAGGTGGCAGGAACTACTATCAGTCCAGTTTTCTTTTTTAGTTTTATGAAATTAGAAAATAAAATCTAGTTTACCTGACCCTGAAGTAACTATAAATTGCTGTAATCCCAAATAGACTTCTAAATTGTCGTGAAGAACTGGGAACTGAAAACAGAAAAAAATTTTTTTTAAATACTCATAAATCCAAGTTTTAAGAGCATTCTAATATTAAAACATCACAAGTACTTATGGGAGACAGGAGCAATTTTCCTGTAACTTTCTATTCAGCCAGGAGCAGCATGCTCCCCTTAGGTGCCCCTGCCCCAACAATTTCTTAACAAGATTTACTTATTTGAAAAGCAGAGCGACTGGTGCGGGGGGTAGGGGGTTGGATAAACAGTGCTTCCTTCTGCAGGTTGAATCCCCAAATGGCTACACCTGCTAGGACTGGGCCAGGCCAAATCCAGGACCCTGGAACTCCACACATCTCCCACATGGGTGGCAGAGGCCCAAGCACTTGGGCTGTCCTCCTCTGCTTTCCCAGGTGCACTAGCAGGGAGCTGGATCACAAGTGGAGCAGCCAGGACTCAAACTCGTGCTCTAGTATGGGATGCTGGCACCCCAAGCAGTACTTCACCAGCTGCACCACAAAACCAGCCCCATTTTCTACAATTAAAACCACCAATTAACATATAGAATAAAAAACAACAATATATCAGTTCAACACTTTTTTATTCAAAAAGGCAGAGAAACAGAGATCTGTATCATCTGCTGCTTTACTCTCCTAAAATGATGAACTAGGCAAAACCCAGGGCCCAGAAATTCCATACAGGTCTCCCAGGTGGATGGGCAGGGGTCAAGCAGTTGGGCTACAATCTGCAACCTCCCAGGGTGTGCACTAGCAGGAAGCTGGGATGGAAAGCAGAGCTGGGACTTGAACCCAGGCACTCTGATCTGGGTGAACCAAGCAGCAGTTTAACCACTGTAACAAACACCTGGCTCTTTTTCTTTTCTTTTCTTTTTCTCTCCTCTCTTCTCCTCTCCTCTCCTCTCCTCTCCTCTCCCCTCCCCTCCCCTCCCCTCCCCTCCCCTCCTCTCCTTTTTTTCCTCCCTCCCTTCCTCCCTTCCTTCCTTTTTTAAGCAAAGGATGTTGGGTATTGACTATAACATTCCCACCAGGGGACATCAGGCCCCCAAATGACCTATACCTTCTAAGACTCTGAGACAAGACCATATCTATCTACAAATAAATCCAAGACCCCATGCTTGAAAGAAATCTGAGACATGACTTATTAAAGTGCATGGCAAAGTGAAAAAAATGGGCTAAAGCATTTGGAAGTCCATTTGCTCATATAGCAGATAGGACTGTGTAAGCTCAATCTTTCTAAGGCCGCTACACTCACCACACTAAGATTAAAAAAAAAAAAAATGACAGGCCCCTACTGAGGGCAGATGGCACAGTAAAATGACATTCCACTATTCAGAACCCAAGACACACCTAGATTGTTCAGCACCAAAGCTGACCCCCAAAAGCAATCTCGCCTTTGAGGAAGAAATGAATTAAATAAAATCTCTCCCAATAATAAGCACCATTTAGAGAATGACAGATGATTCCAGCACATAAATACAGGAAGAGAAAGCCAGCAACTTGCCAAGAGAGAGCTCTGAAGAGGTGAGCGTTGTAGCAATCTAACTTTTCTTTTTTGACAGGCAGAGTTAGACAGTGAGAGAGACAGAGAGAAAGGTCTTCCTTCTGTTGGTTCACCCCCAAATGGCCACCACAGCCGGCGCTCTGTGTCAATCTGAAGCCAGGAGCCAGATGCTTCCTCCTGGTCTCCCATGTGGATGCAAGGCCCAAGCACTTGGGCCATCCCCCACTGCCCTCCCAGGCCACAGCAGAGAGCTGGCCTGGAAAAGGAGCAACTGGGACAGAACCGGTGCCCCAACCGGGACTAGAACCTGGAGTGCCGGCGTTGCAGGTAGAGGATTAGCCTATTGAGCCGCGATGCCGGCTGCAATCTAACTTTTATAAATAACATCTCTTTTGCATGTCTGGCCACCTCTGACCTATTGAGGAAGGTGTTAGGCATTAAGGCATTGCAAAAATTCCTGTTACAGCAAGACTAAATAGAGCTCCCAAAAGTTGACTTATTGTGTATAGATGTTAGTATTTGTTAAGTTTGAGAGTCAATTATGGTAATTATTTTTCTCTGTCCAAAAAAAAATATAGATACTACATAGACACAGAGTGAGGGAGAGGGTGAGGGAGGTATACAGGTGAGTGCAACAGCCATGCCACATGAGCAAGCGAATAACCAGACTCTCCATTCTGCTTCCAAGGTGAGTTACCAGTGTGGAAAAGGCATGCGTGGGAAGGAGCTCCATCACTTTGGCCACCACCTCCAAGCTCTGGCGCAAGTACCACTGCCACTCTGTCTGCTGCTGCGGGGACACACAAAGTCATCAGCTTTCCCAAAGAGGCAGAACCTAGTCACTTTCCCTGCCAATCTCTCTGCTGCCTCAAGTCCACTCTCCCACATCACATTCTGAAGGAATGTAAACTGACAGAACCAGGTTATTTGGTACCATAAAAAAACAAGCCTGTAGTGCCAGCACCCCATATGGGGGCCGGTTCAAGTCCTGGCTGCTCCACTTCCTATCCAGCTCTCTGCTGTGGCCTGGGAAAGCAGCAGCAGAAGGCCCAAGTCCTTGAGCCCCTGCACTTGCATGTGAGACCCGGAAGAAGCTCCTGGTTCCTGGCTTCGGATCAGTGCAGCTACAACCGTTGTGGCCAATTAGGGAGTGAATAAGTGGATGGAAGACCTCTCTCTCTGCCTCTCATTCTCTCTCTGTGTAACTCTGACTTTCAAGTAAAATAAATAAATCTTTAAAAAAAGAAATCAATCAAAAGACTAAACACTGTTCTAATGTATGAATCCAATTATACAGACACGTAAGAAAAGGCAAATCTCTTAAGAAAAGTTTAAATCACCAGTTGTCTGTGTTGGTGGAGAATGAGGAATCTCATAAAATATCTTTTCATCAATGCAAATATGCTGACTTTATTCTGTGGTGATCACATAACTCTCCAAAGCATGTAATAAACATTAAAACACGTGACATTTACAGCTGGGCAGATACTCCTGGGTACACCATTTCTGAGAGGAGCCTGAAAACTGCAAATTTATTGTGGATGAGTATAGTTATTTTTAAATTTGATTACTCTTTATTGTCCTTGCATATATTCTTCCTTTGTAACTCTACTGTGTTTTTGTGGAACATTAAGCCTTTAAGTATACGATAAATTAAAAATATGTATCTTCAAAATAAAATATCAAATTTAAGAAAAAAATTCATTACTTTTTAAGATTTTTGGAGTGTATGTTAAGAATTGTGTACATCAGCCAGCGCCGCAGCTCAATAGGCTAAGCCTCCACCTGTGGTGCTGGCACACCGGCTTTAGTCCTGATTGGGGTGCCGGATTCTGTCCCGGTTGCTCCTCTTGCAGTCCAGCTCTCTGCTGTGGCCAGGGAGTGCAGTGGAGGATGGCCCAAGTCCTTGGGCCCTGCACCCGCATGGGAGACCAGGAGAAGCACTTGGCTCCTGGCTTCAGATCAGCACAGTGCGCTGCCAGTAGCGCGCCAGCCGCAGCGGCCATTTGGGGGTGACCCAACAGAAAAGGAAGGCCTTTCTCTCTGTCTCTCTGTCTCACTGTCCACTCTGCCTGTCAAAACAAAAAAAAAGAATTGTGTACACATCAACATGTCTGTGTATTGATTCTCTACACCAGTAAAATCTCAATTTTTAAAAAACAGTCTATCACTTGGTTTCACATTTTTGTATTGCTCTAATTCCATTTTTCTTAACTGAAGGGAACAATCTAAAATAAATTTTCACCACCAACTTAAAATAAACCACGGTAGCCTTTCCACTCGGCTTGGTAAGACCAATTACTTCCAGATTATGTTTGTCTCGATATTAATGAAATGTTTCTAAATAGTGCAATATTAGTTGTGATATTAAACATTTTAACACCCCTTAACTTTATACACCAAATAAAATGTTGATATTTTCATTTTTATTAGCATCTGTAATATTTATGGGCTTCAGCGTGACATTTCAATACACATATACAAATTGAACTGATCAAATACACATTTATCTTGTGACTCTATTTTATGGTTGGAACCCTGAGCTCCTTTCTTCCATTTTCTCATAAAATACATAATGGATTACTGTGAACAATAGTCACCCAATCATATTGTGTGACACCAGGGAATCTAATTGATCTAACTGATAGGGCACCAATTGTCCATAATATTTTCCCATAGTTTCAAAGAGTTTTATGTCTCTCAAAGGTGAAATATATATATAGAAAGAGAGACTGAGCTGAGTGGAAGGGGGAGAGAACCAGAGCCACAAAGAGATACCCAAACACCCAGTAGTCCATTCCTCACATACCAACAACACCTAGGGCTGACCTGAGCCAGGAAGAAGCTGGATTCAATACTGGTCTCCAATGTGGTAGCAGGAAACCAACTACTTAAGCCATCAGCTTCTGCTGCTGCTGTATCAAATATTATAATTGCAAGATTGGAAAAATAACCCAAGTGTCTGTTGACAGATGCTTAAGAAACATGTGATTAACACACAGTGGCACCCTTTCCAAATCTTAAAAAGAAATGAAATCCTGATATTAATTACAACATGGAACCAAAAGTGTGGAACTGGAAGATATTTCACTGGGTGAAATAAGACACAAAACAAGAACTACTACACAAACACACTTAGATGCGGAATGCATTGAAGTCAAACAAACTGGACTGAGGAGAGAAGGACGGTGTTTGTCGTGGGCTGGGAGCAAGGAAATGAGGAGATGTTAGTCAAACAATACATATCTACTGTTATGAGATAAAATTTAGAACATCTAATATATACAGTACAGAAACCACAGTTGACATACTATATTGTATACGTGGGATCTGCTAAGAACGGTGGTCTTTTAAAAACACCAGGAAAGTGATAGATTAATTAGCTTTATTATGCTTATCCTTTTATAGTGTATTATAAGTGCAAGGAGACTCCAAAAAGTTTGTGTAGAAATGCAATGAAGGTAATGTGAAATTTCAGTGAATTTTTAAGTAACTTCATATCAAAACACACACTGCGATATAATAATAAACAATTTATGTTAGTTATACTGCAATAAGCCTGGAAAATAAAACAAGCATAGATATCCCTCTTTGGAGATGATATGAGTCTTTATTTAGTGGATCCAAAGAACTCTTCTAAGAGACTATTGGAACTCATAGAAGAGTTTGGAAAAGTAGCAGGATATAAAATCAATGCACAAAAATCAACAGCCTTTGTATACACAGGCAATGCCACAGCTGAGAAAGAACTGCTAAGATCAATCCCATTCACAATAGTTACAAAAATAATCAAATACCTTGGAATAAACTTAACCAAGGACGTTAAGGATCTCTATGATGAGAATTACAAAACCTTAAAGAAAGAAATAGAAGAGGATACCAAAAAATGGAAAAAATCTTCCATGCTCATGGATTGGAAGAATCAATATCATCAAAATGTCTATTCTCCCAAAAGCAGTTTATAGATTCAATGCGATACCAATCAAAATACTAAAGACATTCTTCTTAGATGTGGAAAAAATGATGCTGAAATTCATATGGAGACACAGGAGACCTCGAATAGCTAAAGCAATCTTGTACAACAACAACAACAAAAAGATGGAGGCATCACAATACCAGATTTCAGGACATACTACAGGGCAGTTGTAATCAAAACAGCATGGTACTGGTACAGAAACAGATGGATAGACCAATGGAACAGAATTGAAACACCAGAAATCAACCCAAACATCTACAGCCAACTTATATTTGATCAAGGTTCCAAAAGCAATCCCTGGAGTAAGGACAGTCTATTAAATAAATAGGAAAATTGGATTTCCATGTGAAGAAGCATGAAGCAAGACCCCTACCTTTCACCTTACACAAAAATCCTATCCTTAAAATATAAATCAAAATT